AGCATGTACATGTCATTTAAATGCATGTTCATGTATATTTAAATACTTCTTACACAATTTTAAAAATAAGATAAGAAGACTACCGTACTTTTTCCAATACAGGATTTAGAACGTAAATGTTTATTGTGAAACAAACTTTTTTTTTTTTTATTAAAATGCAACGCTTAACATTTTAATGCTACTATGTAATGTTATCTCTAAAATATAACTGGGATAAAAATTAGCAATCACCCACTAGGTGACTGTACAAAACACAGACCTTGCACATTATGGGATCGCTAAATACCAATATTAAAATATGGAGGTATGTAAAAGGTCTTTGCTTAAAAGAGAAATATTGCAAATAATATTTTATTTATTGCAGAAATGAAGAAACAATAGGAACTGACAGTCCTACATTTTACTTTTTTACCAAAATAACTTAAATATTAAGTTCCAATGGAAATATATATATAGGGCAAGGAAAAATGTTATTATATTTACAAGTTACAGAACCATTTCTGTAAATATACTTGCACGGTAATACTGTATTGAAAAAAAAAACAGACATAATTATAATGCTACAAATGTACATGTTTAAGAACCAGTTTATGTAAAAAAAACTTAGCACAGTGAAAATAAATAATAATTTAAGACTACTGTCTTGGTTTAAATGAGATATATTGAGAAAAAATAATAAATATATTATTATGAATAATGTCAGTTAATTCTGACGAAACGTGAAAACAAGTATATTTCCTTGCTAGCCTAGCTAGCCTAGGCCCTTACCTATGCTAGCTCGATTACAAAATAAATAATAAAATCGTTCGCAAATAATAGGCCTCATAGGCTACGACCCTACCCTACCTAGGCCTAAAAACGCTAGACCTAGGGCCTAGGCCTAGCCCGAAAAAGTACACCGGTCCCGCCGCCAGGCAGTATCATGAGCATGTGGTGAAAACTTCTTAAATTTCGTGATTTTTTCGTTGCTGGCCTTGAAGCAAAAAAAATCGGTTATCCTTTCTCGGCGCTTCATCCTCCTAGGCTATTTTTGGCGTGTCGCATGTCGATCCCAGAGAAATGAAAAAATAATGTCGAGCGCCCAAACTTTTGTGATGACGTCGTGCCAAAGTAAATAAACTCCGGAGCACGCGATTGGTCAAATAGCCTAGGCAACAAACCTCTCATTAATATTCATTTTGAAGTCTTGCTGGTTACGTCATTCAGCTGGCTCAGCTAGATGTGTATAAGAGACAGTTATAGAGGAGCCTATCGATAGCGACAAATAAACAGTGCCAAAAATGCTCCCATTTTGTAATAAATTGCACTATTTTGGAAACGGGGGATCGTTTTCTGGCTAAGGGGGTTCGCTGGCAAAAGGGGGGTTCGCTGAAAAAGGTGGGTTCGCCCGAACCCCTAAAAACCCCATGGCTACGGGCCTGTATACATTGACATTACAGGCATTATTTTGAATACTTCGAGCAGTGCTCTTTCTCAGCGAACACCCAACCCAAAAAAGCAAAACAAACCTTCAACTAGACAAAAAGTAGGTAGGTTATATATATTGTAGGTTAAAACAAGAGATATAAGTTACTAGTGAGGTTAACTTTCCAAATGATGCAATGGAATGTGTGCAAATTGATTTGATAAATTAGCTATGGAAAACGGAAATTTATGTGAAACTAATTTAAACATAAATTTTAGCAGATTCAAAAACCCAAAAACAAAATATGTTACATAAGTCAAAGAGAAAGAAGTCCCAGGTAAAGCTTTATTAGACAGGTACCGGTACCATGGATTAAAATTAAATTGTAAAATATATTAAATTTGTAGTAATGGGATTGGTACTGGTAGTTTTAGCGGTAGTAGCAATAGTTTCAAAACATCTAGGTACTTACATCGTCTTGGTCGTTTATGCACTTTGTAGGCGTTTCATTCAACAAATATAAAACTATATCCTCAGAACATAGAATGTTGGATGTCATTGCATACATTAAAGGAATCCGTCCCAGCTGAAAAAACACAAATGCGTAATTTGAGGTAAAGTTCACCACTTGTCTTAAATCGTCAACATACTATAGGTTCAAATACCGACCACACTAGAACAAAATCCACTGAACATCAAAATCCAACTCAAAATGGTCTTTATTGCAATCCGAGTAAACAGAGATTGAATTATACATTACTTTAAGTAATTGATAAAACCAAACAAAAATATATAAACTATAAAGCTATTATAGAAAATTTAGAGAAAAATATCAAAGTGAAAATTCATTTGTTTAAATTTATAAGCCTATTCATAATCATCATTATTATAAATCATCATTATTAAAAGTAATAATATCAATAGCACAGTTTCTATTATATTATTTTTTAAATTACAATAAAACTTGGCTTAAAAATATAAACATTTTTTTATTTAATAAAATTGATATATTTACATTTCTCAATTAATACATATAGGCCTAAATATATATTATTTGAAAAATAAAGATTAAATGGGACAATTGTAAGTATAACATTATTATCAATCATTACAATACATAAAAATCACATCTAAATCGTTGATAACAAAGGAAATAAAAATTGCAAGCAGGTTTCTTTAATAAACATCTAATGTGAGCCCAACGAACTGTGAAACGACATCTTTGCATTCAAAATCTCACGACACGCAGGAAAGTCGCGAGGAGAGAAATATTTAGTCAATTGTTATTAACAAGGTGTAACGCCTTCCTACAATAGTATTACAGATACATCACAAATATTAATAACGATATAGAAATTTTAGTGGGTGTTGTGGAGCTAACTATTGGAACTCCCTTCCTTTCACTATTAAATGCAGTGCGGGATTGTCAACTTCCTCCTTTAAAAGGATACCGGTACTTAAGTTTGATCTCCTTGATGTGGCCGGTACACATAACATTGTTTGATATATTTGGTTATTCTCGATTGGGCGTGCTTCTTTTCTACATAATGATATATTTTTACATCGCTTTTAAAGGAAAACAATTAAAATTTAATAAAGATATATTTTTATACTATTTTTAAAAAACTATAAAAAATTCATTGATTTTTTTTTTAAATTTTTTTATGAATGTGCTGTTTTTGCTGTTTGCTTTGCTTTGTGTTTCTTTTGTAACTTGCTTGTTGTGATGAGGACTCCCCTGAAAATAGCTTTGGTGAGTGGGACATTTCCTCTTGAAATATTAATAAAAGAAAGAAAGAAAAAAGATATTAAAGCTAAAGCCCCAAGGGCCCAAGTCCCCTTGGTTCCAGGGCGCCCCCGCTGGATCTTCCCCTGAAGTGACCTTGAGGGAGATAGTACGCTGCTGAATGGTGTCAAGCCAACCTGGTGAATAGCCTGGATCCACGATTCTAAATTTTGTTAGCATTTAACTGGCTTTTAGTGACTCATAATATACATAATAATATAGAGGCACTGTAGTCGAGATGTGGTAGTATAAGTGAATTGTACAAGCAGTCTTACTGTAAGTACAATTTCGATTTTCAGCAAGTGCATTGATTTTATACCAGGTGTGACTAAAACCACAATAAAACGTAAAAACTATTAATTCACTGAAAAACCGAAAACACATGAAAATGCCAAAAACCTAAAAAAAATATATACACAAGGACATATGTATGGGTGGCAACCAGCCCGGGGCCCCATAAATTTATAAACATTTTTAAAAATAAGATAAAAAGAAATTATATTCAAAAATGGTGGAGCTGACATCGTATAGACCCTCCACCTGAAAGTCTCTCCATTCCCCCACCCCTTCTATTACAAATGCCTGGATCCGAAACTGACTTCATTTATTCCATCGTTAAAACAATTAGAATGCAATGGCAAATATGATTACACAACGAGCACTAGAAAACCCACAATGATGGTGACTGGTACCCAAAAGGGCCACCGGTTTCAGAAAATCACGGGGCCCTCGGCTCCAGCGTTCCGACACTGTTCTCTTTAAACTTTGTACATACGGGCCTACCAGTATTAAATATGTGCATATTAAAATATGACGCCATTGTATATATTTGAACTATTAATAAACAGGTAATTAAACTTTCCTGTTTGTGTCTAAAGAGTCTCAAACTTGCTACAGCTGGGTAAAACGCAAAATTACTGTAAAATACAATTTTTGCCATAAACCTGTGAAATTACCGCAAGCTGAACCAACTAAAAATTTACCATCCTCCGCAGAGTCGTAATAGTGATAATAGCGAGGGTTATGTTAAGAGCTCTAACTACGACGACTCCGCGTAATCGTTAGAGCTCTTAACATAACCCTCACTATTATCACTGTAGCTATAGTTCGAGTTTGTTTTCATGGGTTTTTTTTTTCTTCATTCATAATTCTCTTTATTATGAATTTATATTTGTTTTTTTTTAATGTATTTTTTAAACTATTTTTTTACATTGTAATTTCAATATCAATTCTCATCATGGCAATTAGGAAAAGCACTAATATTTTGTTTTACAAACAGACATAGTATTAAGTCTATTTTTTTTTTTTTTTTGAGTTTCAGTATTTTGTCACACTCGTGCAAGTTAGGATAATACTGTTGTTAAAAACAGTTGCATAACTAGGTACTGACTGCCATGGTTCGAGAGTACAACCGGGCCCGATTGACGCATATAAATTGGTGGATGTATCACGACAGGTTTATTCGGGAACGGGTACTTTAACATATCTTTTTACTAGGACTATTTAGACACTAATACTTTTATGGGTTTTTATTTCTAATTTTTAGGAGTCCGTGAAAGATCCCTGACAATCACTTTCCAATCTTTTTGAGTTCGCGGACCCCTATACACATGTTTAAATATTACTCATTGTCCATATCCCATAGATAGAAAATGATTCCCTATGAAAGTAAAACATTAAACATTGGCGAATCCTGGAATTTGAAATAGAAACCGCCTCAGCCCCTCCCAAATTTTTCGCGGACCTCTTTAATTTGGCGGGTCCCCAATTATTCTTCGTTGATCCTTAAGAGATCAGCGTACCCAAAGTTGGGAACCACTGTCATGAATACCGTATTTAGGTTGTTTCTTGCACATTTTATTGTCAGTACAATATCTATGAGGGGAAGTTCTGTCCATGACGGTGATATGTGTGTGTGTGATTAATCACAACATAGGCCTATGTTTTAACATTTTTTTTAAATGCACAGACCTACTTTTACAGTATTAGGCAGGGAAGACAAATACTAGCAATTCAGATGATGATCTCACTTTATGTATTTTACTAATTTATTTATTTGTAATTTTAGCCCAATATTCATCCTAACATTATGTAATGATTCCTGATTTGCCCCACTGTCGCAAATCGATCTAATATTTTGAATCGTTGACAAGGTATAATTACAGTTCAATTCAAAAATTGGAAAAGGGATATCATGTTGATCTGTGATAATGTGAGTGTGTTTCATACTTTGCAGTGATAATGAAGAAAATTTCTTCTAAATCAATTTGATTAATTATTGTAGATAATACATACAAATGTATTGGCAATGATATGAATTCTTTTTCTTCATTTCAAGAATTGCGAATGATCAGCGCGCCTGTCTTTATACTGTTATAAAACACGATGTTTTTCAATTGTTGAGCTCATGATAATATGTGAGTAATTTTTTTATACAAACGACTTCACATTATAATACATAAATATATATATACAAATGTCTTACCGTTTCATTTTTGAAGGACATCCATTCGGGATGACTCTTTACTAACTCTTTTATTCCTTGCTCATCCTTGGATCGAATCTTTTCATGAAGTTGTGTTCTGCAAGTATAAACTCAAAGTACAGTATGCCTTTTAAATTGACAGTTCTATCATGGTTTGTTTGTTTGTTTTGTTTGTTTTTATTGGTTTCTCCACACACAACATAAATAGTACAATGTATTCAAACTTAACTAATATTACAAAAGTAGATAAGAAAAAAATATATATATACATATACATATATATGCATATACATGCATAACTGTACAGCACAATATACACATACACATACACACATATACATACATATATACTGTAAATTAGATATTAAATAAGTAAGTAAGTGTGTGGATGGAGGAATAAGTTTATACAAACTTTAAGTTATGGCCACCAGTTAAAATTGAATAAATAAAATTGAACTTAATGACGTACAGATGATTACATATTTTAAATAATCACAGGCAGTCTGGTTTAACAAGAAATTTAGATTTGAAGACACACTGCACCATAAAATATTTGATACAGTATAATTTTGATCAGTCTCTTTATTCATGTGGGAGCAGTGTGTCACCAAAATCAAAATTACTAACAGGCAAAGAGTATTAAATATTGAGAAAGAAACATACGTATACACATATACACACGCATACATATGCACACATACACATACACATACACACACACACATATATATATATATATACATATATATATATATATACATACAGTATATACACACATATACACATACTTACATACACACATACACTTACATACGCACACATACATACATATACGTACATGCAAATACATGTAGTTTCAGCTGTAAAATTTGTAAATAATGATACAGGTAATAATAATAATAATAATAATAATAATAATAATAATAATAATAATAATAATAATAATAATGCATAAACATAAACAGAAGGCTTATCTGCCATATGCTGAGACCAGAGATTTTTTCAAGTTAGATTTAAAGGAATAAACATTAGGTAAAGACTTAAAGGAAATATCTAAGGAATTCCAAAGTTTGGGCCCATTGTAAAAAATAGATTTCTTTCTAAGAGAAGATATATATTTTTCAGATAAGACATTTGTTTTTGGTTAAACCTACTTCAATATTAAAATGGAATCAACCTCAGGGCTTTACGGTTTATAGTCCTTATCCGAGATAAGTTCTACCACCAGAACCATAGGCGAACATGGCGTTCGAACCAGCGTCGATATTATGGCTGTAGGTTGCGGCGTCCCTGTTAACCGCTCGGCCATTCGACTCGCCACACAAATAAACCCTTTTAATTGTATAATATTTATTTTATGAAAAACAATGGTTAATACCTCATTATGCGATTCATTATTATGGGCTATACAAACACAATTAGTAATAATAAAAATAATTACAATTTCTGATGTTATTGTATATGTTGAAGTATCATGTGTTTTTGAGTTATAGAGGTTTTTATTATTGTATTTGTCATTATGTGTATATTTCTGTCCTGATTATCAAAATATTTTTTTTTACAAAAAGCATATCGTCATGATGTGTCTATAGTCATGATGTGATCATGACCATATTTAGGCATGTCTCATGTTTTTGTCAAATAACATTTGATAGACTGGACAGAGCTTTACATTAATCCCACAATTCCACGGGGCACTGACGAATAAATTTTTTTAAAGCGCATAAACAAACTCTCAACACGCTGGTTAAAGAAACGTCGGAATAAAAATGTTTAAACAAGATGTAATTATAAACTGTTTTTGAAAATGCTGAGAGAAGCAGAATCACTAAGCAATATTATCTATTCACACTGTTAAGAATTCTTACGTCATCTCTTAAATATCAGTTTCCTCTGAACTGTACACGTATATATTTTCCTCATTTATATATGCTTCCCTCATCTTATAAACATTATTCCCAGCGTACCTCACTATTTCAGAATTCTGCCCCTGTCACTATTCTTTCAATCCCTTAATTAAAAAATTGCTGTGCACGTATATTTACATATGCCATAATTACCCTACCGCAATGGTTATGCTCACTACATTTGAACTAAACAAGTGTAGGCCTACTCAACATGTATGCAAGTTTTCTGAAAGCTGACATATTTTGCTACTTCAAGGAAAACGATCTTCCTTTAAACATGCAATGCAGCAAGTCTAACACCAAAGTGCATGGGTTGTAATAGCGTTAGCAAGTCAGCTACATTTTCTCCACCACCACAATATAAGTGTCACATCGATTCCGCGTATCATGATCTTATCATCTCCTTAAATATAATTTTTATTATATTTTATACACATAATGTATACCTATTGCATAAGGTAAATTCAATGATAGCGACAAGGTCAACATAGGCTTGTACACAGTAGCTCTCTTATATCAGTGCATTATCCTATTGCCAAAAAAGTAAATTTCATGCCAAAGTAATTAATTGTTATAATTTTTGTTTAGAATAAAGTGGGCTCAGGGATACGCGACGGTGGGTAAAATGTAGGGTATGCTAGGGACTGCTAGTGTGAAATGTTCCATCTATTATCCTACTATACAGTGAAAGGCTGCGTAATATTAAAATACAAATACAGAATTTTTTTGAATAAACACCCCTTCCATAGGCGCATTTGGAATAAACGCCTCTCTCGCATAAACACCCCGAGCGTTTATTTTTTCCTTGAACAAACGCCACCTACATGATTGTAAACAAAACTGATGTAAGCAATATCATTCATTTTCAACACATTCCATTCAGCCCCGTAGCTAGACTCGTTGATAAGGTGGCATTCACATTTTCCGAGAGGGTCAAGTGCTAAAAGTGCCACACAGACTCAGTCCCACCACGGTTGGAACTGAACTTGGAAATATTGACAGTAGCCTATATTGCTGGCGTTCAATTTTAAATACATCAAATAGGAGATAATGGCAAATACCAGGAAAGTCTACACCCACCTCAGCCCCGAGCCCCGACATGATTGGAGCTGAGACGAAAACAAATCAATGATGATTTAACAACACTACGGTATATTTTACTATGCCCAGAAATTGCATACTTGAACTTGATATATTTATTCTAAATTGTCTTAATTTGAAATTATGTCATTCAAATTTTAATTAGATCAAATAAGGTGTTGCGCATTTTGGGGAAAATAGAAAGGGGTAAATACCAGGCGTGTCACCATCAACCTCAGCCCTATCATGGTTAGGGGTAAGGCAGTGGCGGTGCCAGGAGTGGTCCGATGGGGTTGGGAGTCTAAGGTCTCCGACCAGAGGGAGGCTGAGGTTCCCGACAAGAACAAAGTGGGCGTGGTCGGCGTCTCTCAAAATTTTCCAAAGTAGTCCAGGGGGCGAATCCGTCAACAAATTATGACAATTTCTTATTTATTCGATTTTAGAGTCTAATAATATGTGGAAAATACATATAATTTTTTTTTTCTACCAGACGAATTGTGGTTTTTGTCATTACGACAATATTTCGTGTCTAAATTAGATAAAACGGCAGTGAAGGTCGCCAAAAAATTTGGTCATTTTTCAACTTCTTTTTGTAATAACTTCGCAAATACTTCATCGATTTTTTTTGGGAAAAGATAAAACTGATCGGAATTTAATAATCATTACAACAATTACAAATTTATAAGTGTAATGTTAACACCTTTATCGGACTTGATTTTTATCAAACCCACTCGTGTATTTTTTCAGCGTAAGAACAGTGAAATCTGCCGAAATATCCCAGCTGTCTTTAACATAAATCCCTCTACAGTCGAAAGTTGTGGGCCGATTTCTTTTGGGAAAAGTCCATACGAAAGCCCTTTTAGTCTTCTAAATGTATTCTAAATATAAGATTGATCGGTTGAGTAGTTTTAT